AATGCCCAGTGCAGAAGGGCAGGCACGGACATCAATATAAGGGCACACAAAACACTATTTTCAGAGACAATGGTATGCTCAGAATTTTGGAGGGTGCACTTGCGAACAAGGAGCCCAGCCATGGGAACAGACAACAACATCTACCTCAATGTGGAGTAGCTTGCAGGACGGTGAGGTCTTAGAGGCTTTGGGTTTTCTTTCCTCAGACCGAAGAAACTTACCTCCAAATATGAATCAGGGCTGGCTTTTGTTCTCTTAATGAGAGTTTTCTTTCAGTTCCTGTTCTTGTTGGCCCCTCCTCAGTCCCAGCCTGTGTGACTCCAAGGGCCGGGCCTTGGGTGTAGGAAACCTGCATCCCTGTTAGAATTACTTATCTTCTGTGAAACAAACTGCCTTTTTTCTTCACACTTTCACCATTAACAAAAGACAATACAAAAGATTCTTCTACTTTTAATATTTCCAGCTGGCTTAGAATAGCAAGTTTTTGGATTCTATTACATCTAATTTAGGGGAAAGAAGTGGGCATTTTTTTTTCAGAGAAGCTCAATTTTCAGTAATGTGAGCCTAAAGATTTATAAAATAGATTTATATTAAATTATGTTAATAGAAGCCTAGTAAATGCACCATTTAATTGCATGGAAAAAATGTTCCCTTTTAAGAGGTCTGTCACCTTAACAGGTACATTCAAAGATTCCCTGTGAATAATGAAAATAGGAACAATTGCTTTGATGCACTGAGCTGTATTCATCGTCTAGGACAGCTTTAGGCTGTGTTTGGAGAGGGTGGGAGGAGCTCCTTTTAAAGCATTGATTGCTCCTTTAAACCCAATTTCCTCTAGCAAATAGGTTCTATTGGGAGTGTCTTTCCCCTCTCTCCCACGCCCTTAAGGCTGGGCTGGAGATCCTACCCAGACCTCTCTCCCAGCTCCCTCTACTTTTTCTCCTCCCTCCCAAACCAACTCTAAACACCTGCCCACCTCCCTCAAAGAAATCTCCCAAGGAGTGCCATGAAAAGTGAGTAGAACCTGCAGGAAAGGTAGAGGTGGGAAGAAAAACAAAACAAAATAAAATAAAATCTGGTGCAAATAACTTTTCTCTTTCCATATATGTGACCACCACCAGTGGAATTCTCTCTCTCTCTCTCTCTCTCACACACACATACACACACACATACACACACACAGACCCTCTTGCTTTCTGTGACCACTTTTAGTAAGAACAATCACCTTTGTGACAATTCTCTGACCAGAGTAAACCAAGCAAACTGCATTTCTAATCCTGATCGGAACTGGTAGAGAATGGGGGTGAGAAAAGGTAGGAGGGAGCCAAAAATCAAAGACTTCCCATCCCCAAGTTTTTCTTTCTCTTAAAATACCTTTGGCTATCCTTGGGGGGAGTAGGGGGAATGTGTGTGTAAGGGGGAGGGGAAGCAACCTAAGATGACCACTTCCGAATATTTCAGAATAAGGGGAGTCTGTCGTCACCAGCGTCTCTATCACCTGGGTCAGTGGATACCCCAGGGCTAGGCTGCTGGGTCCCTTCTGCCCTGGGCATGGTTTGCAATTAAGAAGCCTGGCCAAGTGCTATCAATGCTAGGTCCCTGGCCTTGGGCTTGTGGTGGTGACTGAGTGGGAGGGTGAAGGGGAAAGGTCTCTGTTCCTCCTTTTCTCTCAGAATGTCGGAACTAGGTTTAGAGCGCAAGGGCAGGAGGTCATCTTTTGAGCTCTCCACTCCCACCCAGAACCTCTTCCTGTTTGAAGCCACCACAGGACTTGCTCTCAAAGAGGTGGATTTGACCACACTAATAGCTCCTGCGGCATACTTTTTTTTTCTTAGGGGAGCAAAATCCTAATTTCTAATTCTCATTTTCATTCTCTCTCTCTCTTTCCATAATGTGTGTATAGGCCCCGAAGAGGCCATGTTTTGGGGAAAACAGAATTCTGTTTTTCATGTGAGGGCATAATGAAAAGCTAGCATCTGGTGCTTCCCAGGTAGAGAGATTGTCAAGGGTGACCCACACATCTCTTTAATAAATCTGTGGATATTTCACTTAAAGCGTTTGACTGATATCAAGATTGTTTAGCAGAGTATGTCCCAATGTTGGCCTAGGAGTTTTTCACCTAAGGTGAAACTGTAGGCCTTTAAAATCAGTTTCCTAAAGGCTTATTAGGATTTGCAAACTTCAAAAACATCAAATGATTACTTTGGGCAGGAGTGGGAGAGGGGGTTTTGCGGAGATGTAAAATCTACCCTAGTAGACGGGAAACCTCATGGTTCACCCTGAAAGTGAGAAGGTCCACTCGGCACCGAATATCCTAGAACCTCCCTGAAACCCCTGGAGAAGGTTTCTTCTGAGAATAGTATCTGTGCCTGAAACTTTTTGCCTCTAGTGGGGGACGCATTGTTTATTCTCTTTTCCCTAAGGAACTTCCCCCAAAGACAGAAAGGAGAGGGGCTGATACCATCCAAGCAGCCCAAAACCCGGTGAGAAGGGCTGGCGCAGCGTGTCCTTCGCAGGGCGGTGGGGCTGGGTGTGGCAGGTGGCTGGCTCCGCGCTCCGGGAGCACGGCCTGGGGTGCGGGAGCCAGGCGAGGCGCAGAGGCTCGGGTTCCGACTGGGCTCGGACTCCGGGAGGGCCGAGGCCGAGCGCGGGGCGACTGCCCTTCCCCCCCCCAAACCCCGCAGCCGGCTGTGGATGGGAGGGGGGAGGAGGTGTCTGCCCACTGCCCAGCTGAGGCTTCGCTTTGGGCAGGAGCGCGGAGAGCTGCAGCAGTGGCTCTTTGTCCTTCCTGTTATTTCCCGAAAAGGAATTCTCCGTAAACGCTCCTTCTTTGCGCCTCGAAACTCCTTTCCTCCCACCCTTATACTTGTGCGCGGAGAGGCCTGTTTATTGGGAAGGAGGGAGATGGGATCTTCAGGAATGGCAGCGGGCCGGTGCCTCCTCCCCTTCGCCGCGGATAGCGCGACGGGCCCAAGGCTCCACGCGAGACCGTGAGACTGGGAGGCTGAGCCTCCCAGGCCGGGGAAGGAGCGAGCTGGATGCCTGTGACCGCTGCGCCGGACCATGCCCAGGTCGGAGCACAAAGCGTCAACAACTCCCTATTCAGTCCCTCCCTTCTGCCCTGGCCGGTACCCGAATGGGAACTGACGACGAAAGTCCTTCTCCTGAGCCTCCCGTGTGTGTGTGTGTGTGTGTGTGTGTGTGTGTGTGTGAGAGAGAGAGAGAGAGAGAGACAGAGAGAGAGAGACAGAGAGAGAGAGAGAGAGAGAGAGAAAAGAAAGAAAAGGAAAGGAAAAGAAAAAAAGAGAGGAAAGAAGAACTAATGAACTCTGGGCAGGGAAAAACCATGATCACATCATCCCCCCTTTTCCTCTTTTCCCAAACTAGCTTTCTGACTTCAATTTTAGAGCCCCATCTCACCTGGTAAGGTTTCAGTTCCTGCATACTGAAAGTAAATCAGACCCAAAGAAACATGTGTATGTGTAAACAGTTCTATGGCTTGAACCTCTTGGGTGGCATCTTTACAGAAAATAATCAGAAATAATATCAATGGGTGTTAGGAGGCTCAGCTTGCAGGGAATGAGATCTAGTTTCCATATTTCTAGCTTCACTTGTCTTCTTTAGGTGACAGGCCCTGGCTGCACTGAGCAAAAAGCCAGGTTGCCCTGCTGAGGGCAGAGCCAGAGTAAATCTCCAGGAGCAGGTTTGCAGGAATTAACTCTGCAGGATGATGGGAAGAAAGGGATTAGAAGGGAACAGATTTAGCTTAAAGTTAGGGAGACCAAGAAAAAGTGCAAGAGTCCAAAGGCACCTCGGAGCTATTTTGGAAAAGTGAGAATATAAATCTTTGGGCAGAATAATTCCCTGTCCCTGCCCTTTTGTTTTCTCAGCACTGATGAAATCAGCCAGTTTCTTCGCTAGAGGAACAACCAGGAACTAATGTTTCCGGTCACTTGCAGCATCATTTGTAAGTTTCCTTGTGCATGCTTCCAACCTGTTTGATGGATTGTTGCTCTTCCTAAAACTATTCTGACTATTCAAATTCCTTCACATATTTCAGGTTTTGGTACCAAGAGATGTGGGGGAAAGGGGGAAGAGGGGAACTGCTACAGAAAATAAATACTTAGGTAAGGGATTTTTACCTTTCCCTGCTAAATAAATCAAAAAGTTTGTCTGTCATTAATTGTCAGTGTCACTTTAAATGTTGTGACTTGTCCTATCAACTAGGAGCAGCTTAGCTATTTTGAGGATGGGGAGTTCCTACTTGGTAGGCAACATCATGACTGAGGGTGTGCCACAAACTCCTTCAACCAAAGCCCCACATGACTAGTTTTTAGTCAACACGTTCCTCTAAATTCTCAGACACCTTCCCCCTACTCCCCCCCATCCGTGCCTTTCTCTAGATATGGGCGAGGGGGAGCCAGGGAAAGATGGTGAGTGCAAACACCACAAATTTAAAACCTTGATTTTGTTTCATTTATTTAAATAAATATAAATATAAATTTTATATAAAACTATTCACATACAAAGGGACTTGGCAACTTGAATTCCAATCTCTCCCCAGGTAAATTTTCAGAAAGCGAGACCTACAGGGTTTAATTTTCTAAATTATTTGCAATTCAATACTTTCATTTAAAAAACAACAACAGAAAATAATCCAGAAACCCCGTGTTCTTCTTAGGTTCTGAAAGACAGTAGGGAAGGGGGAAATGACATGCGCTTTCAAAATCCCACTACAGTGTTAAACTTAAGCCAACCGTGTTTTTTTTTCTCTGTTATATGACAAGGCTGAGTTGAATCTAGGTTATTTACATTAAAAAAAAAGACCTATAACTTTGAGTGGAGCTTCAAACAGATAGGTCAAGGAGGAGACTTGAAGGGTCAGGCTGGGCACGTATGCCCACAGAATGCTCAGCTCCACCCTCCTGCAGATGGGACCACAGAATGGGCGAGGATCTGGGCCCCTGGGTGCCCGCTGCGTTGGTGTTGTGGGGGCTTCCAGGAGCATGTGGTGAGAGGGAGGCAGCCCTCCCTCATAAGGGAGAAATCTCCTTGTCATCGTTGGCCGAGGCCGGCGACAAGGAGTCCTCATCCTCGGAGCGCGCATAGTGCGCCTGGCTGCCGACACACTTGCAGCCCGCGTGACTGTTCCTCTGTGTGCCCTTCCCTTCTTTCTTATGCTTCACCCGGCGGTTCTGAAACCAGATTTTCACCTGCTTCTCTGACAGGTTCAGGTATGTCGCGATCTCGATCCTCCGGAGCCGAGACAGGTACATGTTGGAAGAGAATTCCCGCTCCAGCTCCAGGAGCTGCGTGCTGGTGAACGCCGTCCTCACCCTCTTGCCATTGGGTACCTGGCTGGCGTCCGAGCCCCCTGCAGACCGGCCAAGAGAGGGCAGAGAGGTAATTCTCGGCTGAGGCGATCCCACCCCACGTGCCATCCCTCGGAAAGGACGCCTCTCCAGGACCCACCCGCGAAGCTCAGTCGAACACCTGTATCCATCCCTCACCCTTTCCCATTTCAGGGCACTTCTTTACTCGGCGGGGAAGGACAGAGACGCCCACAGCAAGTGAAGGCCTTTGATGTGTGAGTTGTAAAGTCAGAGGCTTAAAGAGGGGTGGAGGCTTGCATTGTCCGGTCGGCTCCCTTCAAGCCTAGCAGAGAGGCAGGCAGGCTTAGCCAAAAGCATCGAAAGGCTTTAGCTAGCCCCGACGACGGAATGCCACACTTAAGTTCAAACCTACCCACCCCGCACCTCAGCCAGTTTAGCCTTCGGTTTCTCAACCCTCAAGTTCGAGGTCCCAAAGGCCCCGATATTGCTCAAGACAAGGACACCAGGTACCGGGAGGGCACGCACCAGGCTGCTTGGAGAGGTTCGAAAGCTAACTTCCACCTTCGTGGAACTTCTGGGGACGACTCCACAGTTCCACGAAAAGCCCCTCCTCCCCCCTACCAGCCCCCCCCCCCAAGGCTGCCACTTCCTCCACTGGATGCGGAAAGTTTGCTCCTGGGAGCCGGGAAGGCGCGGCGCGTAGGTGCCCAGAGCCCCCGCCCTACCCATGGTGAGGCAGTGGAATCTCCGCGGGTCCCCCACGTTGTAGGTGGTGGCAGCGCAGACAGGTGCGTGGTGCTGAGGGTGTCCCAAGGCCGCCGCGGCCGCCGCCGCTGCTGCCGCGGCCGCCGCCGCAGCGGCAGAGCCCGGCTGCTGGGGCTGATGGTGGTGATGGTGGTGCTGCGGCGGGTGGTGATGATGGTGCGCGTGGCTCACGCGTGGGCAAAACTGCGCGTCCCCGGGACCCGAAGAGAACTGACCCTTGAGGAGGGGCAGGGCCCCGGCGCCCCCCGGCGCCCCACTACCCCCGGCCCCTGCACTCCCGGTGCCTGCACCCCCGCCGCCGGAGCCGGCGGGCCCGCGAGAGGAGTGCAGGTGCGAAGTGACGCAGAGTGGGCAAACGCAGAACGCGCCACTCTTGCGGGACGGGCAGGCGGGCCCAGACACCGACATCACCAGCGGGGACGGCATGCCCAGCGGGATGAAGAAATCTGGCCCGGGGTGCGGCTCAGGCAGCGAGGGCGCGGGCCGCGAGGAGTCCTTGATGATGAGCGAGTCGACATAGAAGGAGCGCGACATGTCGGGAGGGGTGGGTGGCAGGAGGGCCGGGCCAGCGGTGGCGCCCCCTCCCCTCTCCTGTTCTGAGCTCTGCCCCGGGCGCGGCGCGGAAGCGGGCGGTGGAGCCCTCGGGGACGCGGAGGTGTTCGGCGTCTGGGCTGCGAACAAAGGGGTCCCTGGAGAGGGCTGGTCCTCACATCCCCCGCCCGGCGCCCCGGCTCCGGGATTTTATAGCCCCCACCCCGGCACGTGATGCTGCGGAGTACCGCTCGGCTCAGGCTCCTCAGCAGCTCCCCACCCTCGGGATAGGCTGCCCGAGTCACAACAGAAGCGGCGAGGAGGGGCGGGTGCGCGGCAGGGAAGAACTCGAAGGAGGGGGATGGGGGAGACTTTGCAAAGTGTAGGTTTTGTTAATTTCGCGGGGAGGCCGGCCTCCTTCCCCTCTTTCTCCACGCTTTCTCGAGAAATCAGAGCTGCATCCCCCATCCTACCCCTTTCCCTAGCCCGGGCCCCAGCCCAACTCTTCCCCACTCCCGGCCGAAAAGCGCACCAGGTGGGGACCTTGAGGCCTTTTTAATAGGGATGCCCAGTGCTCCCCGCTCCTCTGTACTAGCCGCGACTGGGCGCGGAAGAGTGTGAGGCCTGCTGTTTGGAGCACGATTGTATGGGCGGCAGACCGGCGGCGGCCGAGTCCCGCACCGCGGCTTGGACCACGGATGCACACAGACACGCACAGACACACAGACACACACACAGTCCCCCAGCATTTGGACTTGGCCACAGTCATTCAGGTGGTTAGTTCGTGATCGATCCGCGGCCCAAGAGTGAAGCCTCCCACCTAAGAAGCTGCAGAGTTTTTCATTCTAATGCTTGAGACGTTCTAAAATGCCTTTGCACTTGGGGCTTTCCGGGGGCCGCTCAGATCAAGGACGCTTCCTTGTGCTCCTTTGTAATGGGCAGTGTACCCTTTGGCGGAGAGACACGTCGAAGGGTCACTCTCCCTTCTCCAAGCCAAAGCATTTCCAGGACAACCCTGCAAACTCCATCGCAATGATTTTGGAGAGAGGACCCAAACCCAGCCCTCCTGGAGACCGGGCAGGCTTGGGGAAGGCCTTTGCTCTGGGTCCTGTGATTTTCTAAGCCTTTCTATTTTACAGACCTTGAGCAGCTCTCTCCCCACCCCCCTGTGCCCCTTTAAAAGCTGAAAGAGGTTGAAGGAATTTGAGCCACTCAAGGAATCCTGCCTTGGGATGGGAGCGGTGGCTTGGTAAAGGAAATCTGAGGGGCACAGGCTCCAGCGGAAGACTTGCGCCTCGGTGGCTATGTGAGAGAGGGTGGCTGCCAAGATAGGGGCTATTGATCTTTGGGGAAGGTAAGGTGGCAGAGGTGACAGCTTTCTCTTTTTTGCCCCTGTAGAAAATCTGGTTGGAGCAGGGAGGGTGAGCAACCGCCACAAGTCTGATCCTTTTTCCGAAACAGCTGACTTCAGGCCTGAGTTCACAATGGTGTTAAGAAACTTGGGGACAGGACTCCCTCCACCTCTGAGAACCAAGTGCCCAAATCCTAGGGGAGCATCAGCTTCTCAGCTGGAGGCATGGCTATCTCTCTGTCCTCTGTCTATCCCTCCTTTCCCCTTTTTCATCTCTGGGACCGTTTCTTTTGCCTGCTAGAGAAGTGTAATTGGGTTGTAGGGACGCTCCGCTCTGGGGAGCCCAGGATTTATGGATGGCAATTAAAGTTTTATGAATTGCAGCTGAGGCTGGTTATTGAGCTATTTGAATGTGATTAGAATTCAATTAGAAAGCGGTTAGTGGACGGTGGGTCTCCAGAGTGTAAACAGACAGCTATTCCAGAAATGTGCTAATCCAACATCTTGTGACAACAATTAAGGAGTCTCAGGGCTTAACTCAGGGCTGCTCAGCTGTAACTACTTTTGTACCACAAGGTTTGGCGATGCAGCCATCACAGACGCTCAGCCTCAAGCCAGCCTGCCTGCCTACCCGCCCTCGCTCGTGTCGGGAGAACGCAGGTAGTCCCAGGATCACTCCAGCCCCAAGAAGAATGGAAGCTCAACCACTAAGAGATGCTTAAAGACTGGGTGTTTTTTTACAGGCCTGAATTGTCCAAACAGGTGACATGATTTTCCCACTCTGCAAGTGTGTGTGTGTGTGTGTAATTTATATAATATATACTTACATGTATTTATTCACTTTGCAAGTGCTCAAAGAAAGTAATAGCTTTTCCCTTTCCTTTGTCCTCTTCTGGATTGGGTAGAAGGTCATCACAGGTCTGATTTTGGCTTACAGTTTGGGTCACTGTGTTCCCTGTGGTTCTGGGTATGCTCATGGGAAGAACTCCTATGCTAATATGCTGGAATTTGTGCTTTTGTGAGGACCACTTGACTTTAGAGAATCCTAATTATGAAGCATGAGCAACTAAATTTATGTCTAAGTTTGGAAACATCCAATTGGAGTGCTAAGGAATTTTGAGAAAAGTGAGAGGCCCATGGCATTACTTCGGGCTAAAAGGGGTGCAGTAGCTTGGGGCCAGATTTGAGGCGGAAAGCAGACCATGTCTGAGAAACTTGCCTATAAGAGAGGACTTGGTTAAATTGCTTGAGCCATGGTGATGAGCACAGGGTGATGTATGGAAGTGTTAAGTCACTATATTGTATGCCTGAAACTAATATAACATTGCATATTACCTAAGTGGGATTAAAATACAAACTTTAAAATTTTTGAAAAATAAATTGCTTGAGCCCACCAAGAGCAAGAATTTGAGGGTCACGTTCCACACTGGAGGCTCTCCTCAGATTCTCCTCATTAATTCTCTTTGGATCTCTCAGTTTTTCTTTCTTTTCTCGACCCAGCCCCATCTCCAGAACTTGGCCCCACTGTGGCTTGCCTCCCCCATTCCCAAAGGAAGCCTATCCTCCATGGCCCTGAGCAGCTATGTGGCTGGCCTGCCCAGCTACACTATTCCCCAGGACAGCAGCTCCTTGAACCTGCTCAAAGCAGAAGGGGACCCCTGAGCAGCCTGTCAGTGTGCCCCCACAGTGCCCCCGCTGCCACGCAATTTTATTTCTCAGTGATTCTGTCCGATAAAATTTCATCGTCCATTAAGTAATCCCTGAAATGAGAGCTCTTATGAGCCTATAATGAGCTCTAATTGCCACGACTCGGGGAGCCACGTGGAAGGATTTATTCGGTATTAAGCAGTCGGGTACAGAGTACAGGCTGTTACCTAAGCCATTACTTTCATAATTCAAGGAGAAAATTAGTTCTTTTAAGGGGCAGGGGGATCCTTTGATTTCCTCCCTCTTGCTGGGATGACAGAGGATGGCTTTGTCTTCCTTGAGTGCAAGACAATGTCACAAATAAGGTAACAAAATTGCCCCCCCTCCACTCCCCTAACACACACCAGTCAGGGTACCCCACCCTTACCCTCCAATGACAAAAAAATAAAAGCAGTTCAGAGGTGCCACCTTCTTGCCCCTGGACTCTCACTTGAGCCTGGATGAGCAGTTTTCCTCCTATCTCAACCTTGAGATTTGATTCTTGGTTGTAGCTTTCAAGAAGCCTTCCGATACTTCCCCCACCCGGGATCACACCTGACCTGGACCCCACATTCCCCTCTTGTTTCTCACTCTTTCTGTTTCCTTTCATGGGCAAAGTCAGGGAAAGCAAAGAATGTGGACTTAGCATTGCTTATTCCGCAGGCCCTAGAGTTCTGACCTATTGATGTGCTTAGCTGTTTTACCGGCAGTAACTCGCACATTGCCCTTTCCTCTGCACACACCCCACCCCACGAAAGAGACCCCCCCATCCCTAGTCCTTTTTTCTCTCATTTTTTTAGCGTTTGCCCACACGGTTCTCCTGCCCCAAACAGAGGCCGCGAGCAGGGCGGGACAGCCCAGGAGTTGGCGGGGCGGCCTCGGATTTATTTGCTCCTCTTACATTGATTTCATATTAGTTTCCAAAGCGATGAATGATCTCAAAGCTGGGTTTTGTTAGCCGAACACAAACAGGAGACAGGACTTACTTGCCCCCAGCTCCCTTTAATGAGGTCATTATCAAAGCGTGAACAAGTCTATGAATGTTTTATTGAAAGCGCATCGTTAACTTGTATGCATCCTTTTCTCCGAGTGGCATTGTGATATTGCTGTCTGTGGCACATCTTACCCGATATAGCCCGAGATTTCCCCATTCTCTGTAACCAGGCAACCCTTTCTGAATACCCAAAAATTGAAAAGAACCGCTTAGTCTTCAAGAAAGTCCTCAATAATAGTGGAAAAGAACAAAGATCCAGGAGACAACAAAATGCCACAGGGGTGACTTTTCATGAGCAATTATCTCTCATTAATCAGAAGAACAGCTGCAATATTAATTTTCTCTCTTTCTTCCTCTCTTTTCACAGTCCCCAACGTTTGAATAATCATAAATTTTGATTTTATGAAGGAGTCACATTTTCAGGGGCTGGAGGAAAGCAGCTACCTAGGTGAAGACAAGGAGAAAACGCTCTCATTTTATTTTATTTTATTTTATTTTTTGTTTGGGTAAAGCTGCCAACAAAGCAAAATGAAAAAGAAAATAAAAATAAAAGCAAGAAGGATATACTAGAGAAAATGGTCCTCCCCCCCTTTCTTCTAGATGGCGGCTTAGAATCGGGACTCTTTTTCCCGCGCCGCCTCCTGCAACTCCCCCTCCCTCCCTTCTTTCCTCCCCCTGCCCAGACCCATTCCCCAGTTCGGCTCTGAGCAGGGCGGAGGGAAACGTCTCCGGCGTCTGGCGTGGGAGTTTCAGCTGGGTTTCTGCCCGTTTAACTTGCAAACGTGAAGCCAAGCGTTGTCGATCTGACCAAAGAGACACTCTTTGGGCGTAACTCGCATTGTGGCCATCAAAAGCCCGCCAGCCTTGGATGAACTGAGACGTGCATTCAGCAGAAATGGGGCGCTCGCTCTTCTTTCAGGAGCCGCAGCGGCGATTGTTCACAGGATGTATAGCCAGGGTGAAAAACGAGGATCCCCAGATAAGGCTGTAACCTGTAAACCGGATGGGGGGGGCAGGATAGGTTAAAAGAATCTCATTAAAGCCGAGGCTGCAATTAGCAAATACACACTCTTGGAGAACCCAAGCCCCTCTTGAAAGCCTCGAGTCGGGATGAAAGCAGGGCAGTTCGGAGGCAGTCCCCACATGCCTACGCCAGCAGAGTGAACAGGGGCTCCCGCGCCCGGCTCTCCCGTCAGCTGCCCGAGTATTACTTTGAACGCAGCGCAGGCGAGCCCGTTCCGCCGAGAGGGCAGGCGGCGGGCCTCGTGCTCACCCACCACCAAAAG